CTACCTCGGGGAAAATCAACAGATGCACTGCCCAACTAGAGAATAAGACATGAGTCTACGCTTCCTTTGCACATCTTAAATATCTCATGTGGTGTTTTCAGAGCCCCCTTCACTTGGCATTATGGAAAGGGGACATCATTCAGGAGGAAGGGAGGGAAAAGCCACAGTGTCTCCCAACTCTAACAAGTTTTAGTCCTGATGGCTCTCTCCTCACTCCCTCGTCTTCTGTTTATACAGACGTGGGGTGAAGAGTGCTGGGGCGGTCGCTGGGGTAGCAAATGTGTCTCAGCCACTTGGACGTGGCACTATCGCTGACTTATTTGTAGCTCTCTTTAGAATGTGAGGTCTCTTTCTCTTAGCTCTAAATTCGAGGAATTTAGAAAAGTCCCACCAGGAACCCCATTACAAATATCTGTTGAGAGAATGAGCCAATGTGTTTGTTGTACTGTCTGCTCCATAGGGAGCCCTGCCCAAGCTGGGCTCCCAGGCATGGAGGTCTCTGTCCTTGGAGGCATTTGTCAAGGGGACCACATTTCCAATTTTACTAAAGGAGGAAAGAAACCCTTCAAGGCACTGCCTATCAGGAGCTGTGCAGACCTTCATCAGAACATTAGGGGCAGAAACGGCTGGATGAAAAACAAGAGTGATGAAAGAAACAATCAGTAGGATGAGGTGGAATAGAATAATGAAAAAATAAAAGATGAGAAGATAGTGGGAACAGAAAGTGAGGGCGACAGAAGTTTGGAAAGAGGGAAGATGGTGGAGGAGATAGAAGGGAAACTAAGAGTTTGGGGGGAGGGGGAGGGGACCGGGCCCAGCTGGGAGTGGGGGGACGGGCAGAGCAGCTGGTGAAAGAGGATAAGGGCCCGTGGTTACCACTTTCCAGCTGGTGCAGGTGGCTCTGAGTGACATTTGTCCCCTCCCCTACCATGCAGTCTTCTGGGGAGGTGGAGGGAGGGGAGAGTAACAGGAGGTTGGTGGGGAGGGCAGAGCACACCTCTCCAGGTGCAGGGGCTTCCGCTTTAACAAATGCACCTGACCATAACACAGAGGCACTGGAAGAGGTCGACCCTGTTATTCCTGGACAGGAAGTGAGGATAAAGGATGAAACCTTCTAAGAATGTTTTGGTCTCAGCAAGAGTTATGTAAATACATGTGGTCACGGAAAACATTTAAATCCAAACCCCTAATGAAAATTTGGGGACAATTTCCTCTCCCAGCACCCAGCCTTGTTCCCTAAAGGTGAGAGTTCAGGAAAAGTGCTCCACATGGAGCTGGGCATATAGACAGGCTCCGTAAATGTTTACTCTACTAAGTAGCTCCCAGCTCCAGGCCTCAGCACACAGCACGGCCAGGCACTTGCTAAATATGGGCAGGGAATGAATTCATTGATCCAAAGGGCCAGGTTTAATTTATTTATGCTCCTGCACGGTCCCACCCCTAGGGCGCAATCCAGTGCAGAGCCAGATGTGAAGGTTGCATTCTCTCAGTTCACAGGACCTCTTGCTGTTGCAGACCTTCCATGTCACCTTGTGCTGTCTGTTGGGACAAGCTGGTTCCTGGTGGCATAGCCAGTGCACCTGGGGACCATGGGAACTTGAAAAGAGCCAATGGAAATTTTAACTTGAGAAGGGAAGATTATCCAGGAGCAGAGCAAGGCAGGCAGTGGAGGAAAGAAGCAAATCCCACAGACAGAACTAGAACCATGAAGCTAAAGTTCAGAACCACAAGGACACTTAGAGACATCTTGTGCTTTGCTGCTCAGCAAGTGGTCAGTGGACAGAGGCACTGGCATCCTCTGGGGTCTTGTTAGACCTGCAGAATCTCCATCTCCACCCCAGCCCTACTGATTCAGAGTTTGCATTTTGACAAGACCCCAAGGTGATTTGCTACAGTGAAAGTGAAAGTTTGAGGAACACTGATCAAATCCCAGACTTTTTAAACTTAAACTTGCTGCCGTGGAGTCAGCAGAGGGCAGTGCTGCAGAGTTTGCCAGAGGGAACTGAGAGATGACGTGAAACAACTTGTCCTGAGACTTCAGTTCACATTAGGCTATTGATGGTGAGAATCTGGGGCCCGTGCTAGGATACTTTCTTTGCACAAAGACAAAAGGCTTGAGTTCACTAAGGTATGATGTATAGGGAAACATAGGAGGGGCTGGGGAACACATGAGAATTCATCCCTGTCCTAGAGCTTTCAGAGTAGATTGTCTTGCTGTAGGATCTCAAGTGTCTTTGAGGCAAACCCAGCTCCATGGGCACGTGACCCGTGCAATCAAACAGGGTCCTATGCTCAGAAGGGTGCTGCATGGGTTTAAGACTCTGCTGTCACCATCCTGAAATTCTTAATAATTTTATCTTTCAGCTTGTGTTTTAAGTGAAGTTCATTGGGGTAAAGGAGCATGCACACGAGCAGTATGCATGTCAATCACTGATCCTTGTGGCCCCATTCACTTACAGCATTCATGGTGCCTTATGTGAACAGAATCATGGACCCATGATAGATGGGAGTTCAGTGGGACTCAAAATGAGTACAAGAGAATTGTGTTATGGCAGCCACTGGCTTCCAAAGAGTATTGGTAGAATGTCTCTGCACGTATGAGCTCTGAAATATGAATTGAGTAATTTCAGCGATACTACCTACAAATTAAATGTTCTGGTATTTCATTCAAAACTGACATTATACAATATAACCAGTAAAATTCATAAGAACAATTAAAAATTTTGATTTTCCTTTAGCTAGAACATTAATTAACAGATTTAAAAATACCATCCCAAGTAGAGAGAGGCTGTAGAAGAAAGGAAAAAGCTTTATTATGGTACATTTAATGGCACTTTTTTTCCTGCTTTTTGAACAAAGGGTCCACATTTTCATTTTGCACTGAGCCCCACATATTATGTATCTGGCATTGCCTTGTGGGATGGGAGAAGCAGAGAATCATTGCTGCCAGTGGCCCAGACTGTCTAAGGTGGGATTTGCTGCAAGTTTTCAAGCAACTAAAACCAGTGGAAGCATGATGCCTAGAGAGGTGTGCCTATTCCTTAGAAGCCCAGGAATATGCTGATTTGTGATATAAAATGACATTTCTGGCCTCTTATTACTTCCTCCAGAAATGCTCTTTTATTCCATTATTGTGTGTGTGTGTACATGTTTGTTTGTCTATGTTTCCCCCCACAAACCCTCCTCCTCTGCCAAAAAAAGTGAGGGATAAAGGAAGGATGTTATGGACAGAAAGGAGACTTAGATGGTCTGACTGGAGAATACAAGTTGATCAGAGGTGAGCTTGGGATAGGACTGCAGGCTGGGCTGAGGGAGAGGGAGGGTGTCTTTGGGAGCTGAGGGTATCTTGTTGTAACAAACAGGACCCAATCTTTTTTATCATGCACGCCCAATGCAACCCAGACAGATGCCTTTCAAGCAATATCTTGGATCCAAGTCTCCTTGCATTATGCGGTTCGACTTTTTGAGTCCCTCATTTCCACATCAATTCCATCCACTTTCTATTGGCTAAAACCAGGTAAAGTGTCCCAGTTGGATGAAAAGGAAGCTGGGGAAAGTTCTTCTATTGGCTGATGTATTAGTCAGGGTTCTCCAGAGAAATAGAACCAATAGCATACCAGACACACACATTCACACGAGATACACAAGCACACACACACACACACACAGACATTTATTATAAGGAATTGGCCCGTGCACTTGTGGAGGCTTACAAGTCCCAAGAGCTGAGTCAGCAAGCTGGAGACCCAGCAGAGCTGATGGTGTAGTTCCAGTCCAAATCCAAGGCAGGAAAACCCAACTGTGCCAGCTTGAAGGCAGTCAGGTGGGAGGAGTTTTCCTGTAGTTGTGAGAGGGTGGGGCTTTCTGTTCTTTTCAATCCTTCGTTGATTGGATGAAGCCCACCCACACTGGAGAGGGTAATCTGCTTTACTTAGGCTACTGATTCCAGTGTTAATCTCACCCAGAAATATCCTCAGAGACACACCCAGGATGAGGTTTGACTAATGACTGGGCACCCCTGTGGCCCAGTCAAGTTGACACATAAAATGAGCCATCAAAGTCCAGGAGGAAAATGAAAGGATTTGGTGAACACACAGCACTGTCTCTGCCCTGGAGGCGATGAGGAGAGAGGGTAGGAAGGCCGGTTTGGTGTAAAAAGGAAGTGGTCTGTGGTGGGGCAGTTTGCTGAAAGGGGAGAACATCCTTTAGTGACCTTCTCAGCTCAAGGCCCTTAAAGAGACTTAAAGGAGGGGAGCATCTAGCAGATGCTCCAGGTGTTGTGTCAGCGGGGGGCCTGGGGCCTTTACCTTCCTATAATGGAAGGAGCTGGTGAGAGCATTAGTTAATTTGAAGGGGTTTTTGTTTTTTGTTTTGTTTTGTTTTGTTTTGTTTTGTTTGGGATCCTGTGACACGTCTAGGACTTGCAGAGCTGCCCGCACGGCAACAATGGAGAATAGAAGAGGAAGGGAAACTGAGCTCCCCATGAAAGGCTGGAGAGGGGCCCTCTTTATGTGGTAAATCAGCATGCTCAGTTCTGGGAGAGTAAGCCTGACCCCACGTTCCCACAAATCTAGCAAGTATGTTCCTCAGAGAGGCCAGATGAGGCAAATCACTAAGTGGGAGACCAGAACTTTCAAGAGGTGAGGAGTTTGACAGCTGGAACCCTAGGAGGTTTGGCGCTGATGCGGGAGAAAGAATCAGAGACGGCACAAGTGAACTCCTCTGCCGTGCTGACGCACCGGAGCCTGTGGTCCCAGCTTTCCCCTACGTATCTCCGTGCTCCAGTTTGTCCAGGCTAATGGAACAGGCCTTGTCCAACAGGTTTGGGATAACTTTGGGAAACCACTTTGGCGATTATATAAAATAATTATTTAAACAAAAAAATACTGCATAATACATTTTGTGCTTTTTTTGTTTTTGGTTGGGAAGAATGTGTGTGGGGTATCTAGACAGGTGTGTTGGAAGACAATTAAGGGATATAAAATAAAATATTACTGTGATTTTAAAAAGTTGATTTGCTAATCTTTGTCGATACTTGAACAATGCACTTTTCCCCATCCCATGGAGCCAGAGCTTCTGTCCTGATGAGGGTGACATCCTGTATCCTTGAAGTTTCACACCTGAGTTAGAAGAGCTCATCTCAGGTCCATAGGAGGCCAAGAACGGTGGTTACAATGACCACTAGCCAAGCTTCTGTCCAATATGCTCCAGAGGATGGCGCTGAAAGAACAAGAAAACATCAAGCAGGTGTCTATCAATGTGTTGAGAAGGGGCAGGGACATTGGACATTGGCACCGGAGCTTGTAGAGCAAGAAAATGTGTTTCCTTTGTGAATCTGGTCCCAGTGTGCCTGGGACATCCTCTGCCCAGGCTGCCTCCCCAGATGTAAAGTATAAAGAGTGCAGAAATCCCTTAAGTGGCACTAGCTTCACTGAGTCCTGTGCTTGAAGGCACCCTTGGCACCGGGCCTGGGAAAGAATCACTCTCCTGCCCTGGACAGCAACGCAGTAGGGCAGAGCGTTAGGCGCAGACAGCTGACCATATAATACTATGTGTGACTAACCTTAGGGAAGGAAGGACTACTTCTCTTCCAATACTAACCACCTGTGCCAACTAAGAAGAAAAAAGGGAAAGGAAAAGAGCGATGGAAAGGAAAGTGAAGAGATAGGGAAGGAGAGACGCGGGGAGGGAAGGAGAGCAGAGCGATAAATTAAGGAAGGGGATTAGAAATGCTTTTCTAGAATTTGGGTGACTCTAAAGTGACAAGATGGGTTTAGCCCTTCCAAAAAATAGATGTGTTACTGCTTCCGTCTTCTCTGTGGATGAACAGTTCCTTCATTCTATAGAAGACCAGGATTGTGTCTCTTCCTTTTTCTGTATCTCAGGCTGTGGTGTTGATTGGAACTACTCTGCCAACTTGTGGTCTTGTGGTCAGACACCAAGTGTCATTTGGGTCTGTTTTGTCAGAAAAGGAGAGCTTATCAAGAAAGACTAGAAGAGACAGTTGGGAAGAACACAGAAGAGTCTGCATTTCCCATAGCTCATGTGTGGGAGCAAAGGTAAAGAAATCAGCACAGGTGGGAAGAGCAGACTGGGTGGAGGAAGACCATGAACGAGCAATGTCCCCAGGGGTCATGGTCCCTGATGACTGGGCATGACAAGGATCTCAGGTAAATGTTGGTGCCATGGGTATGAGTTATTCTGGAAGGATATGCATACCAGGGCATGGAGGGCTGTGATTTAAGGGGTATGGCAGTACAGGATCCAGAATGCTGAAGATAGTGATCCAAATTTATTACAATGTCCCCAAAACCTCTAGTGTCTCTAGAATTGAAGGGGTTGGGCCTAATTTAGCCGCCATTGACTGAAGACTTACCGGGTACTGTGCTAGATAGTCATCTGTGTTGTTTGATCTGATCCTCATAACCGTACAAGATAAGAACTATTATTTTGTCTGTTAGTTCCGAAGAACATGGCTTCAAGAAACTAAATAACTTGTTTAGCTAGTAAGGGACAATCTCAGGATTAATACCAGCTATAACAGACTCCCAAACCTACAATCGTAGCTACCCAACTATGGGACCTGGGCAGGTCTGAGAGAGAGAGAGCTAGGAGTGATGCTGTAATGAGTGGACCCTTCCAGGAGACAGAGAAATCAGAAACATGAAACCCAGGAGCATACACCTGGGGAAGAACAGAAGGTCTCTACCTTAGGATCAGACTCTTAACGCCCGTTCATCCCCTGCTCTCACCCATGCTCATCCGCTTGGTCCCTCTTCCCTTTGCTGTCTGCCAGAAACCTCTCTGTGCTCCTGCCCGACCGCGTCTGGACTGAGCCCCCATGTGCCCTTTTGCCCCTCAGATTGCCCTGCAATGACCCTGGCTTCAGATTCTAGGACTGAGCACTGTCAGAGCAGGGCAGAAGGGGACATCAGAGACCCTGTGCCTGTCGCTCTTGGCAGATAACACCACCGGACTCCACAAAGAGGTGAGCCTGCTGAGAGGTGGTGGTAGAGCTGTCAGGAGAACCCAAGTCCCACATGTCTCACAGACGCCTTGGGATTCTCCACCAAGCTTGGTGTCAGGAGGCTGAATAAGATCCCCTCACCTTTCTTCAATCAAGAAAACATAAGTTACGCTGTGCCTCCCTCAGCTCCCTTGGGAGTATTTCTTACCGGGTTTACAGGGTGAGGTGAAGTAGATCGTGTTGTTTTGACTGCTCACAGGATTGCTGACTTGGCAGGTATAAGACTGGGAGTAGTTTTGTGGCGTAACAGTGATTTCAAGCACACTCCTCTGGAGTTCTTTTGGAAAAGGCCCTGAGTCCCGATACCAGGTATAGTTTACAGGCTGGTCCTGGATCACACAGGACAGAGTCAGGTTACAGTTGTTCATTTCCTGTGCCTTCTCAATTTTTATGACGGGTTTCGGTACAGGATCTGAAGATGAAGATGTGATAAGATGAGACAACGGATTCATGCATCCATGAGGCATTTATGCTATGAGAGTTTAGCCAACAAAGTACAAAGGGAGCTAGGGAGGGGCCCCGGAGGGAGCAGGAGCAGAGTCATGGAGAAGAGTTCCCTGCAGGGGGAGCCAGTGAGCAGCATTGACCTCTGGAGGCTTCAGACAGAATAGCTACTCCTTGGGGCAAAGCTAAGCTGAATCCAGAAGGGGGAGCCGTACACCCAGAAACAAAATTGGGTTATGCCCATCCACGGGCCAGAAAGAACGTAAAGTTTTAATAAAGAGCTCAGCTGGAGTCAAACTTGATATCCCAACTGTCTGAGTTGCTCAGGGCCCCTTCTCCAGCAATGGCCCACAGTTGTCACCTTGGCCCAACGATCCTTCAAGAGTTCTTGGGCTTAGATTCAGCAAGAGTTCTAGGGTAAGAGGTACCGCCCTACACATGGCAAAGGCATTTCCTGGACTCTGGCAGAACTGCAGAGAAGAACCTCATGGAACTCCCAGCACATGCCAGTTGGCATGCACAGCATTGTGTCTGTTAACTTTGGTATTTCAGTGCCTGACACAGAGCAGGTATTCTGTAAGTATGTGATGAAAAGGATAGGTGGGTGGATGGAAGGAGCAGTTATGAGAATAGAGTGTTCAAACACTAGCCTTGCAGTGAGACCAGTCTGAGCCTAGACTGGGCTCTGGTGGAGTGACATTGGGCAAACTAATTAACGCCTTTAACTTCCTTCTCGCAGGTAAAATGACTCTACCACCTAGCACAAGGTTAGTAAGATAAAAATGGCCTTGTCCAGGGGGAAGTGCTTTTTGCAGTGTGTTAGGATTATGTGCTCGTTGGAGGTCACAGCACCTTCACGGCTGTCGCTGTAATGCCAGCTGGGATGAGAGGTAATCCCAGCACCTGCCCCTTCCTTGGCTGAGACTGTTTTATGAAATCCCCTGGGGTCTTTCCCTTCTGGTCAAGGGTAAAACACCTGCAGAATCAACACAGCTTAGATGGCATAGGATTAAAATGTGGCAGAGAATTAACCAGATCAGAGCTGGCCTCTGGGTTCTATGTCTGTGGGTGGCAATGGAAACACTGTCACCTGGCTTCCTGAACCTCTGGGTCCATCTCCTCCTTAAAACTTTCTCAGATTGCTGAACTCCTCTTGTGTCACACGA